TTGTCTGTAGAAACAGGTGTAAAATGATGATGTAACACATGTAGCTCAGACAGTCTGACACAAAAACAACTATCTTCATTTCCAGCTGATCTTCCAGCAGGAACAGCAGCCTGACAACAGACCCTGGACCCTGGTCTCTACTAATGACAGATGTTCTGAGGAGGTCCACTGGGCCTGAGTCCTCCTGACCTGCTGACCTGATGGTTCAATCACCAGCAGGTAGAACCCGGTGGTTCTGTTAGCAGAGAAGGTCCAGCTGTTCTGGTTCTGGTTTGATAACTGATCAAATTAAACCTTCTCCTCCTTTCTTCATCTAACCTGCCAGAAGCTGAAGAGCCTGTAAACTGGTTTTACTACCATCTAAGGACTGGTTCCCTGTTCTGTTCATTCTGAGTGTCACACTTTACTTTACATACAAAGAGATTATTGTTAATGTTTAACTCAGAAAGTTCTGATTAGTAACCTTAATTTGTAAATAAAGTTAGTTTATTTCTTCAGTAAATAAATATCTTTTATGTTAGAAAACTGAGCTGACTGGAAATACAGTTTATTAACTGTGTTTCTCACTTTCACTGGAAGTTTTTATCTTTCATGAAAAACAACCAGTTTCTCCTCATTAAACCGTAAACAGACGTGTCTCTACACCTTTAAGGGTCAAAGGTCAGATATTTACCCACTGGTGGCGTCTGTCTCATCTGCTGCTTCATGTTCTTCATCCTCTGCTCTCTGATTGGCTGGATCCTGTGACGGACAGTCCTGATTGGCTGGATCCTGTGACGGACAGTCCTGATTGGCTGGATCCTGTGACGGACAGTCCTGATTGGCCGGTCTGAGTCCACATGTGGCCCAGCTGGACATGCGACAGAAGGTGGAGAACTCTGCAGGTCCAAGTCCTCTCTGCAGGAAGAAGTTCTGGCCCACGTAGTGGCGCCACTCACAGCGATGGTGGCAGCACAGAGCCACCACCAGGCCCAGCACTGGACTGGTACCTGGACCAGGTTCTGGCCTCAGTTCTGATGCTTTGAGGYGTTTTGGAGCTGGTTCTGGTTCCTCTCTGGCTTTGGGTGTTTCCAGTAAGCAGCGCAGGGCCAAGTCTGAGGACAGAACAGAACCAGAACTGGGTCTACGTTCAGATTAGAACCAGAACCGGGCCTACGGAGTAGAGCCACTGTTAAACCCTGAAGGTTTGGGTCTCTGACGTTGGTCTCAGAGATGGGTCAGGTGTGGTCAGGACTTCTTTGGTTCTGGTTCTGGTTCTGGACTGACTGAGTGTAATCAGAGGAGTCTTACCTGTTGCTGCTCCACACAGATGTTTGCCGACTCCGACCAAAGGAAGCTTCTTCTGCTGCAGCAGCTGGACCTTCCCTGGAAACAGAACCAGGTTTATAGCTTCAGGTGGACCCTGGACCAGCAGAACCTCCAAATGTTGGGTTCTTACCCAGGTCCAGGTGCTGAATGTCCACCTGAAGCCTCTGGAGCTCAGTTCTGGAGTCCTGATGCTTCCCGTCCACCTGGAACACAGAGGTCCAGACTGTGGATCCATCATTCTTCTGATGGGAGGACCAGTTTTTGGTCTTTGAGGGTTCAGGTTCTGGACTTTCTTTGTGTTGTTATTTCAGATATTTGTGATTCTGAAGTTCTCTAGACCCTGAAAACCTCAGTCTGAGGGTCCCTACCTTGAAGCGGGTACTGGAGCGCTCCACTAACAGCAGCTGTAGATCCTCCTGGGTCTTCAGGTCCTCCTGGGTCTTCAGGTCCTCCTGGGTCTTCAGGGCCTCCTGGGTCTTCAGGTCCTCCTGGGTCTTCAGGTCCTCCTGGGTCTTCAGGGCCTCCTGGGTCTTCAGGTCCTCCTG